TGCCCTGTCACCAGTGTCACTGATCAGTGAACCAATTTTTACTGATCAGTGTATCAGTGTCGCTGGCGACTTCTGATAGAGTTAGCGCCCCTCCCAGATAGCGCCAGTTTGCCTGCAGTACACCAGTAATCCCGTTTAACCCCTTGATCGCCCCCCCCCAGTTAACCCCTTCACTGCCCTGTCACCAGTGTCACTGATCATGTGAACCAATTTTTACTGATCACTGCATCAGTGTCGCTGGCGACTTCTGACAGAGTTAGCGCCCCTCCCAGATAGCGCCAGTTTTGCCCACCAGTACACCAGTAATCCCGTTTAAAACCCCTTGATCGCCCCCCCAGTTAACCCCTTCACTGCCCTGTCACCAGTGTCACTGATCAGTGAACCAATTTTTACTGATCACTGTATCAGTGTCGCTGGCGACTTCCGATAGTGTTAGCGCCCCTCCCAGATAGCGCCAGACTGCCCCGCCAGTACACCAGTAATCCCGTTTAAAACCCCTTTATCGCCCCCCCCCCCCAGTTAACCCCTTCACTGCCCTGTCACCAGTGTCACTGATCAGTGAACCAATTTTTATTGATCACTGTATCAGTGTCGCTGGCGACTTCCGATAGAGTTAGCGCCCCCCCAGATAGCGCCAGTTTGCCTGCCAGTACACCAGTAATCCCGTTTAACCCCTTGATCTCCCCTCCAGTTAACCCCTTCACTGCCCTGTCACCAGTGTCACTGATCAGTGAACCAATTTTACTGATCACTGCATCAGTGTCGCTGGCGACTTCCGATAGTGTTAGCGCCCCTCCCAGATAGCGCCAGATTGCCCGCTAGTACACCAGTAATCCCATTTAACCCCTTAATCTCCCCCCCCCAGTTAACCCCTTCACTGCCCTGTCACCAGTGTCACTGATCAGTGAACCGATTTTACTGATCACTGTATCAGTGTCGCTGGCGACTTCCAATAGTGTTAGCGCCCTCCCAGATAGCGCCAGATTGCCCACCAGTACACCAGTAATCCCGCTTAACCCCTTGATCGCCCCCCCCCAGTTTAACCCCCTCACTGCCCTGTCACCAGTGTCACTGATCAGTGAACCAATTTTTACTGATCACTGTATCAGTGTCGCTGGCGACTTCCGATAGTGTTAGCGCCCCTCCCAGATAGCGCCAGATTGCCCGCTAGTACACCAGTAATCCCATTTAACCCCTTAATCTCTCCCCCCCCCCCCAGTTAACCCCTTCACTGCCCTGTCACCAGTGTCACTGATCAGTGAAGCGATTTTTTACTGATCACTGTATCAGTGTCGCTGGCGACTTCCGATAGTGTTAGCGTCCCTCCCAGATAGCGCAAGATTGCTCGCTAATACACCAATAATCCTGTCTAACCCCTTGATCGCCCCCCCCCTGAGTTGACCCCTTCACTGCCCTGTCACCAGTGTCATTGAGCAGTGAACAGATTTTTACTGATCACTGTATCAGTGTCGCTGGCGACTTCCGATAGTGTTAGCGCCCGCTTGCCCGCTAGTGCACCAGAAATCCCATTTAACCCCTTGATCGCCCCCCCCCCCCCCAGTTAACCCCTTCACTGCCCTGTCACCAGTGTCATTGATTACAGTGAACAGATTTTTACTGATCACTGTATTAGTGTCACTGGTGACTTCCGATAGGTGTTAGCGCCCCTCCTAGATAGCGCCAGTTTGCCCGCTAATGCGCGGGATTTTTTTTACCAAAAACATGTAGCAGAATACATTTTGGCTTAAATTTATGACTAACTTTGAGTTTACGATATATTTTTTATAGCTGAAAGTAGAAAATATTGTTTTTTTTCAAAATTTTCGTGGTTTTTTTGTTTATAGCGCAAAAAATAAAAAGCGCACAGGTGATCAAATACCACCAAAAGAAAGCTCTATTTGTGTGAAAAAAAGGACGTAAATTTCGTTTGGGTACAGCATTGCATGACCGCGCAATTATCATTTGAATTAGTGCAGCGCCAAACAGCAAAAAAAAGGCCTGGTCATTAAGGGGGGTAAATCCTCTGGGGCTCAAGTGGTTAAAGTGGTTGTAAACTCCTGAAATGAAAAATAAACTAAGCATATCCCTCTAAAGTGTGTGCTTGCCTCAACCCAAAGCACCTAGAGTGATTTCTGTCTGCTGTTTTGTTCCTCTGCTTTCTGTATGTGTCACTTCTGACAGGTTATGCTGACTTCAAGGGATCCAGGGGGATGGGGAAGAGGGCTTCAGCACACAGCAGATAATTGACAGGCTCAGCTATGCATGTTTCCTTATGAGACTGTGTGGAGGGGGGGGGGTGTTCATTCCCTCCACTTAGGTCTCAGATTACACTCAGCTATGTGCTCTATGCTGTCCAGTATGTGCCAGATCCCCGCCCTACCATCTGGAGCTGAGAAATGAATAAATTCTAGACTTTGAACAAATGTACAGCAGAGAGGGCTGCTGATAAACAGGTACAACATATGTAGGAGGATTTGTCCCATTTCTGTGTATCACCGGAGGTTAACCACTTCACTGGGTATATGTTAGGGGTTACAACCACTTTTACAGAATTTACAGAGCTTTTTTGAGCTATCAGAGTCAGGAGTGGAATTCTGATGTCACACACTGCACAGCTCAGAAAGGAGAGTTTACTGTAATCTGAGACCTGAGTTGAAGAAATGGAGACCCAACCCCCCGTATTTAGAGTGTAACATCTTTTAGTCCCCACCCTCCCTCGGCGCCCCTCTCAGTGTGATAGCTGGCAGAGGTTTCTCTCCCAGCACCCACTATCACATTTTGAAAACGGCACAGCTGTACAGAACTCCGCCCAAAGATCCTCATCATTAATTTACAGAAATCTGTGAATGAAAAAACTAAACGAACTGTGAGCATGCTGATCAGCAGGCTTGTAGTCAGGGGCGGACTGACCATTCGAGCACCCAGGCACTGCCCGAGGGCCCGGGGTCAGTAGGGGGCCCCATGAAATGCCCTGTTACCTTTTTTATAGTCTTTCTTGGGTGTGCTTTGAGTGTGGGCAAAGACACAGGGGCCCCATGATCCCCTATAGCCTGGGGGCCCCATGAGTTTTCAGTCCGCCCCTGCTTGTAGTTCATTCACACTGCTTACAGCTCTGAAACTAACATCCCATACAGAGGTATAGGCACAGAGCTGTAGGCAGAGTGTGCAGGAGCCTGTCATTGCACCTGCAATCCGCTGATCATGGATGTAAAACTTTGCATGCTCCTGTTTTTAAAAATCATAAATGCACATATTTTTACCTGCAAAAAAATGAGCATTTGTTATTTTTTAATTAAAGGTGAACTTAGCCTTTAAAGCAGAACTTCACTTAAAAGTGAACGTTTTGCTAATCCTTATCTTCCCCCCACTACTTATACTCCTTTTTGTTTGTTTTTTATCTAGGAGCAGGTACCTTTTTCTGACAGGTACCTGCTCCCACTTCTGTAATTCTCACCAAGGTGAGAATTACGAAAGCATGGACCACAACCCACCCGCCCTCAACTTCCTGGGACACATTGCATGTCCCAGGAGGCTGCGGGCCAGTGTGAAAGCACAGTGACCTATAAACTGTACAACTCAACTGAAAAACAAACTGAAATCTTTTAAGGGGGGTAGTAAACATAAAAAACTAAAACAAAGTGGTTGCATAAGTGTCCTCTTATAACTGGGGATGTAGCTCTGTTCACAATTAAGTAATCACATTCAAAATCATGTTAAATAGGAGTGTCAGGAATGGACTGGCCAGCAATATTGGGACTCACCTGCCTTATGAGCTGCAGTACCAGGGCTGGCCAGCGGGTGCTCCCAGCAATCAGAGACTCAACCTTGCAGCCAGTCAAACACCTGGAACTAATTATACTGGTGTATTTAAGGGACATTTAGACCTGCAGACTCTGCCTTGGTGTTGTGTTTTTCCTGGGCCCTGTATCTTGTTCCTGCATCCTGCTCCCTCCTCCTGTTCCTGTTCCTGTCCCTGTTCCTGTCTTGTTGCTGACCCGGCTTGATTCTGACCTCTGCTGACTTCTCCTGTTCTGATTCCTGGCTTGTGACCCCGACCATTCTCTGCCTGACCCCCTGTAACTACCTGCCTGTTAGTTGCTGTACCCTGCTCGTGACCTGACTATTCTCCGCTTGCTCCCCCTGTACCTACCTGCCCGATTGATATTGACCCGGCCTGCCTGATGACGCTTGCACTGTATGTACTGTTATCTGTGGGTGGTTTGGTTTGGTTCGTTTGCACTGTGTTATGTTTTAGTATTGCACTGCGTTTATGTTTGTATTGTTAGTGTTAATAAATTGTTTATAACTTATCTGAAGTCTGCGTTTCCCTGCGTCAGTCACACACCTCTGGTCATACCCGGGAGCCCTGACATTACACCAAGGCCAATCCTGACCAGAAGTGGCTGCACAGGGAAGCCATCTTGGTTTGTTGATGGGAAGGATGGATCTGGATGAGGTTGCGTATTTATATCTGCTAGTGTTTGATGACAGGGAGTATGCTTATCAAACTCTGAAGGAGTATCCCCGGGATGAACTGCTAGAATGTATACGGCTCGCTCATGTTCTAGTAGATCAGGGCACAGAGTTCTCTGAGGTGCAGCCATTGATTGAGGTTTGTGCTGAGTTGGTTTCATCTGGTACCCCCGAATGCAGGGATGAATTTTTGCCACCATTTAGTGCAGACCAGGTAGAGTCCCTGGTATGGTTATTAGAGGATGATGTGGGTTACTTTCTGGAGCGTTATTCCACATGTTCACCACAGACACTAAGAGATTGTATAAATGCAGTGCAGTCTTTGGTCAGACAGGCTTTGTGTAAGCTCAGCTTTGTTCAACCCGTACTGCAGACATGGACAGATTTGTTTACACCCAGCCTCAGTCAGCTTACAAAGACCCAGTCCTGCTTCTAATCTATCTCCTCAAAGCTCTACTCCTGTATTCCCAACAACTCCCCCAGTTACAGCCCAGTATACTTGGCTATCTACCGCATGTCAGTACCCTGTTCCCACTCGCTGCACCTATCCTGCCTTTAACCCTGTAAAGAAGCCCTCTGTAGCGACTGTTCCTTCCCCTGTTCCATCCTCCAGCTCTTCTCTGTCTCCAGCTGCTCCATTCATTTGCAGACCTGCGTTTACTTGCAGTGCCCCAGTAGTTAAAACCAGAAAAAAGCGAAAATTCTTTCCAACCAATACCATCCTGCCAGTATCCAAACCGGTGAGCCTACCGTCTGAGAACCTGCCTTCCGTGGTTCAGCCTGATGCCTCTCTTCAGCCTGATGCCTCTCTTCAGCCTGATGCCTCTCTCAGCCTGATGCCTCTACTCAGCCTGAAGCCTCTACTCAGCCTGATGCCTCTACTCAGCCTGATGCCTCTACTCAGCCTGATGCCTCTACTCAGCCTGATGCCTCTACTCAGCCTGAAGCCTGAAGCCCTACTCAGCCTGATGCCTCTACTCAGCCTGAAGCCTCTACTCAGCCTGAAGCCTCTACTCAGCCTGATGCCTCTACTCAGCCGGATGCCTCTACTCAGCCGGATGCTTCTACTCCCAGATGCTTCTACCCAGCATAATGAACTGATCCAGCCTGATGATCCTATTAGGCCAGTTGACTCGATGCCCGCTGTTGATCCAGATGATCCGGTACCTGATTCGGTGCCCGCAGTCTTGCCAGACGACTTGGGTGCCCTTGCCAGACGACTCAGTCTTGCCAGGTGACTCGATGCCCCCGCTGTTCCGCCAGTTGACTCGATGCCCCGTGCCCGCTGTTCCGCCAGTTGACTCGGATGCCCGCTCTTCCGCCAGACGACTCGGTGCCCGCAGTCTTGCCAGACGACTCGGTGCCCGCAGTCTTGCCAGACGACTCGGTGCCCGCAGTCCTTGCCAGACGACTCGTGTGCCCGCAGTCTTGCCAGACGACTCGGTGCCCGCAGTTCCGCCAGTTGACTCGATGCCCGCTGTTCCGCCAGTTGACTCGGTGCCCGCGTCAGACTTGCCAGACGACTCGGTGCCCGCAGTCTTGCCAGACGACTCGGTGCCCGCAGTTCCGCCAGTTGACTCGGTGCCCGCTGTTCCGCCAGTTGACTCGGTGCCCGCAGTCTTGCCAGACGACTCGGTGGTGCCGGTGCCCGCAGTCTTGCCAGACGACTCGGTGCCCGCTGTTCCGCCAGTTGACTAGATGCCCGCTGTTCCGCCAGACGACTCGGGGCCCGCAGTCTTGCCAGACGACTCGGTGCCCGCAGTCTTGCCAGACGACTCAGGTGCCCGCAGTTCCGCCAGTTGACTCGATGCCCGCTGTTCCGCCAGTTGACTCGGTGCCCGCAGTCTTGCCAGACGGCTCGGTGCCCGCAGTCTTGCCAGACGACTCGGTGCCCCACTGTCGTGCCTGGTGACTCGGTGCCCGCCGCTCCGCCTGGGGGCCTGAGACCTGTCGCTCCGCCTGGGGGTCCGCGCGCCCGCCGCTCCGCCTGGGGGCCTGAGACCTGTCGCTCCGCCTGGGAGCCTGAGACCTGTCGCTCCGCCTGGGGGTCCGGCGCCCGCCGCTCCGCCTGGGGGCCCGAGACCTGTTGCTCCGCCTGGGGGTCCGGCGCCCGCCGCTCCGCCTGGGGGCCCGAGACCTGTCGCTCTGCCTGGGGGTCCGGCGCCCGCCGCTCCGCCTGGGGGCCCGAGACCTGTCGCTCCGCCTGGGGGTCCGGTGCCCGCCGCTCTGCGCTCCCTGGGGGCCCGATGCCTGTCGCCCCGCCTGGGGGCCCGATGCCTGTCGCCCCTCCTGGGGGCCCGCCCGATGCCTGGGGCCCGCCCCACCTGGGGGGGGCCCGATGCCTGTCGCCCCACCTGGGGGCCCGATGCCTGTCGCCCCACCTGGGGGCCCGATGCCTGTCGCCCCTCCTGGGGGCCCCGATGCCCACCGCTCCCTTGGGGGCCCGATGCCTGTCGCCCCTCCTGGGGGCCCGATGCCTGTCGCCCCGCCGGGGGGCCCGATGCCTGTCACCCCGCCTGGGGGCCCGATGCCTGTCACCCCGCCTGGGGGCCCGATGCCTGTCGCCCCGCCTGGGGGCCCGGTGCCTGCTGCTTCACCTGGTAATCTCCCGATGTGCCTCTGCCCGGAGTCCAGCCCGATGTGCCTCTGCCCGGAGTCAGCCCGATGTGCCTCTGCCCGGAGTCCAGCCCGATGTGCCTCTGCCCGGAGTCCAGCCCGATGTGCCTCTGCCCGGAGTCCAGCCCGATGTGCCTCTGCCCGGTGTGCCGCTGCCCCGAGTGCCTCTGCCCGGAGTCCAGCCCGATGTGCCTCTGCCCGGAGTCCAGCCCGATGTGCCTCTGCCCGGTGTGCCGCTGCCCGATGTGCCTCTGCCCGGAGTCCAGCCCGATGTACCTCTGCCCGGAGTCCAGCCCGATGTGCCTCTGCCCGGAGTCCAGCCCGATGTGCCTCTGCCCGATGTGCCGATGTGCCTCTGCCCGGTGTGTGCCTCTGCCTGCCCGGTGTGCCCCTGCCCGGTGTGCCGCTGCCCGGAGTCCTGCCCGGTGTGCCAGTCTTTGATATCCCGCCAGTTACCAGACCCGGGCGGTGGAACTTTTTGCCCAGCTAGGACTGTTTGGAGCGTCCTGAGGCCGCTCCTTGAGGGGGGGGGGTACTGTCAGGAATGGACTGGCCAGCAATATTGGGACTCACCTGCCTTATGAGCTGCAGTACCAGGGCTGGCCAGCGGGTGCTCCCAGCAATCAGAGACTCAACCTTGCAGCCAGTCAAACACCTGGAACTAATTATACTGGTGTATTTAAGGGACATTCAGACCTGCAGACTCTGCCTTGGTGTTGTGTTTTTCCTGGGCCCTGTATCTCTTGTTCCTGCATCCTGCTCCTGTTCCTGTCCCTGTTCCTGTCTTGTTGCTGACCCGGCTTGATTCTGACCTCTGCTGACTTCTCCTGTTCTGATCCCTGGCTTGTGACCCCGACCATTCTCTGCCTGACCCCCTGTACCTACCTGCCTGTTAGTTGCTGTACCCTGCTCGTGACCTGACTATTCTCCGCTTGCTCCCCCTGTACCTACCTGCCCGATTGATATTGACCCGGCCTGCCTGACGACGCTTGCACTGTATGTACTGTTATCTGTGGGTGGTTTGGTTTGGTTCGTTTGCACTGTGTTATGTTTTAGTATTGCACTGCGTTTATGTTTGTATTGTTAGTGTTAATAAATTGTTTATAACTTATCTGAAGTCTGCGTTTCCCTGCGTCCGGGAGCCCGGGAGCCCTGACAAGGAGTCGGTACACACCTGCCATCTTTTCAAGTGCTTCTGATTAACCCCAAATAATTTTCAGCTGTTCTAGTAGGTCTTTCCTGACATTTTCTTAGTCACATCCTACAGGAAAAGCCATGGTCAGCAGAGAGCTTACAAAGCATCAGAGGATCTCATTGTTAAAAGGGATCAGTCAGGAGAAGGGTACAAAAAAATTTCTAAGGCATTAGATATACCATGGAACACTGTGAAGACAGTCATCATCAAGTGGGGAAAATATGGCGCAACAGTGCCATTACCAAGAACTGGACGTCCCTCCAAAATTGCTGAAAAGATGGTCTGGGAGGCTGCCAAGAGTCCTACAGCAACATTAAAGGAGTTGCAGGAATATCTGGCAAGTACTGGCTGTAAAAACAAATCTGAAGTGTCTGAAAAGCATGTGGGAAAATGTGTTATGGTCTAATGAAACCAAGGTTGAACTTTTTGGCCATAATTCAAAAAGATATGCTTGGCGCAAAAACAACACTGCACATCACCAAAAGAACACCATACCCACAGTGAAGCATGGTGGTGGCAGCATCATGCTTTGGGGCTGTTTCTCTTCAGCTGAAACTTAGGCCTTAGTCAAGGTAGAGGGAATTATGAACAGTTCCAAATAACATTCAATATTGGCACAAAACCTTCAGGCTTCTGCTCCACATCTCTTGCCACCCTTATCCAACTCTGCTCACCTATGCAGTCTTTGCAACCCTCTTCCATGCTGCTGACCTCTGCATCCCATGAAACCCTGTTCCAGCATTGCTCACCCCTGCATCCCCTGCCAACCTTTACCAATGCTGCTCATTTCTGCATTTCCAGCCACCCTCTTCTGACATTGCTTACTTCAGCACTCCTGAGTCCCCAGGACTCCAGACTATTTACCAGCCTCCCAGTCACCAACTGGGCACACTCCCCAGGGATTGGCTCAATATTCAGGCTGGTAATTTGGATTCCAATTCCCTTCAAATGAATGGTCTGCTGTTCCTGCATAAAACACGGCACACAGAACCGCATAAATGTGAAATGGGCTTTAATGGAAATCCTAGTTGTCCCCAGCAGAGAGAAAAAAGTGTTTACTGCCCCCCACAGAATGGCTTTTACCACCCAGCAACGAACACCATTTCCTCTGATTGGAAGAGAATTTCCTCCAATCATAAAAAATACCCTCTATTACTATATTATGGTGAGAGGAATGGGTCACACTTGGTAAGGACACCTTACATATAACTATAAAGCTCTGCATTATTAAGCTGAACTAGTCTACATTCAATTCTCTTCAATTCAAACGGTAGCACTGGGACTTGAAGAAGACAGAATTTGTGAGTGCTTTTTAATTAAAGGACACCACAGATCCAAAGGTAAACCATGAATGCTGCTTGTAATGGTCTAGGTATAGAGACATGTCCATACAAAGTTTTGGGCTGTCAGTTATTTTAACCTCCTGCCAACTGCATAACACACATATGCTGCAGGGGGCACGTGCAGGTTTGAGGACTTTTTGCGTGCAAGTAATGTGGGCTTTAACACCCAGCCCCCGCACACATGTGTTCATGTTGACAGCTCACCACTTTTGATTAGTAGCCAGTAGGACGGGCTTCCGACCATGTGACAGCTGTGAGAGCCAATCAGAGCAGTCACATAATCCAGAAGCTATGACGCCTCCTGGGCATTAAAGCCCACTAAAGTGTTGCCTGGGGACAGCATTATGGCTAATTGCAAAAAAATTATTTGTTTTTAGTAAATTTTAAGTTAGGAATTTGAACCATTTGCATATCTATATGAATGAACGGGCATGGAGAAATAAAAATAATAGAAGTTATAAACTGAAAATATAACCCTTTTAAATGAGAGCATGAAGAATAACTCACTTCCTCAACAACAAGACCTTCATTTGTGCAAACTACATAATCTGTTTTGCTTGGATGGTCAAATCAGAAAACACAGATAGGAACGAGCAGGAAGGAAGAGGATAAAAGAAGTGGATTTACATAAAGAATTTTTCATTGCCATGGAAACCACCGCTTGCAACATGCAATCTCACTTGTTAAAAAAAAATGTAAACAGCTTAGAGATTCATTGAGAGGAACTGAAAATTCAGGTCTTAGTGAAAAAACATAATTTCCCCACCTCCACATCTTTCCACCAATCTCCCAATCACATCCTTTGCCATCATATTACAGTATTCTTCATTAAAATGTAGCCAAGAAAATAAAGATAAAATGTATGTGAAGAAGAGACAGTGTTTTCATACATAAAGCAGTTGATTTACGAAAACTGGAGAGTGCAAAATCTGGTGCAGCTCTGCATAGAAACCAATCAGCTTCCAGGATTTTTTGTCAAAGCTTAAAGCGGAGCTCCACCCAAAAGGGTAAGCTCCGCTTTAAGGACTGCTCTCCTGCTCCCTGTTAAGGATTGGCATCTTTGGGGAGCGGGTACCCGAATATGACAGGTACCCGCTCCCACTTCCGGTCCGATTGCCTTGGCGATTGCAAACGGAAAGTGTCCTCCCTCCATGTATTCTTTTGGACACGTGACAGGTCCCAGAAGACTACAGGACCATTCAGGAAGCGCAGCACTACTTGTGCATGCGCAGTGGGTACCTGGCTGTGAAGCCGCAAGCTATCACAGCCGGATGCCCACACTGAAGATGCCAGCCTTCTGGAATACAGGACGGCCGGTGAAACGAGCTGCGGGGGACACGCCATGGGACCGAGGGACAGGTAAGTGGCTGTTTTTCAAAAGTCAGCAGCTACAGTTTTTGTAGCTGCTGACTTTTATTTTTTGATAGGTCGAGTGGAACTCCGCTTTAATTAAACAAGCTGAAGTTAGAAGCTGCACAGCTGCACCACATTTTGCACTCTCCAGTTTTAGCAAATCAACCCCAAAGAGTTATGGCCTTTTTGTATATTGATCAGATTTTTATCAAAGGACATGAATAGGTTTGTACAGACAAAACGAGAGCCTTGGCATATACTGCTAGTGGCTACCAAGTTTTTGTTTTTTGTTTTTTTTTTTTAAGTCCGCAAACGTGCAGATAACGAAAAAAAACGTAAGTGAATCACAAAAAAAGTGCAAGTGTAAAACACCACAGGCTACCAAGTGCTAGACTCGAGAACCAAAAGGATGCATAAAAGGAATGTTAATATTTATAAAATATGTGGCCAACAGTGTGAGAACACCTCTCCAAATTATTGAGTTCAGGTGTTTCCTGTGAAGGGTACTGTTAATGCTACTGTATACAAAGACATTTTAGACTATTGTATGCTTCCAACCTTGTGGCAACAGCTTGGTGTTCTGTTCTTGTATGACCATGCCCCAGTGTACAAAGCCAACTCCATAAATAATGTGAAGAAACTCAAGTGGCCTGCTCCTCAACCCAACTGATCACCCTTTTGATGAACTGAAATGCCTGTTCTGTGCCAGGTCTTTTTGTCAATGCACAACTTTTTTTTAGCACAAATTCCCACAGAGACAGCAAAATCATACTGAAAACCCTCCAAGAAGAGTAGAGGCTGTTATAGGTGCAACAGTGCAGACAGTGGGAAAGGTGCTATAATATTCACTTTTTTTAATGTAGGTAGACCTAATTAGGCCTTTTCTTTCTTTAAAACATTATTATTTTAAAGCTTAAATGAGGTTTTAATGAATGGGTTGAAGGTGACCAAACACTATACAATCTTTTTGCACAATCTTTTTTATTTCTACTGTCAGCTATGTATTAC